AATCTTGAGACCTGTAGGGTGTCCTAGGGCCACCTCCTTCGGGTGTCAAACCATGGTCTTCCTTCGCGCCTCCTTTTGCCGCCTTAGCGCCTCGATGGAACACTGAAGCAGCGCTCCGCCACTCGCCCGAATGTTTGTGTGTCCAAAGCCAGTAACTCCAGTGAAGGTCCAAAAGTGTGGAATTCCAAGCACAGTAACTCCACTTGCACCATTGGCGCAATGCCTCCTTGTTCGCTTCCACAAGCTCTTGGATCTCTTTTTGGACCTGCACAGGGCCCCAGGCCACGCCCAGGCCGGGGAGCGAGTTCAACTAATCCAAGCCTCATCGCTAATCTCAGGATTTCGCCGCAATTCCATCTCCCACACACGGCTATTCTGTCGCAGGGCTTCAAGAAGAGCCTGGATGGGGGAGGGCTGTGACACGGACAAATAAGGCCTAAAAAACTATTTGCCATCTCGCTGACTGGCGCCTGGCAGCCCAACTCCCCAATCCCCTTGTAGTCGAGATCAACCGTTTCAACGCTGCGGTTTTCGCGGAGCATTGCTGCCAGCGCCTCGGTCGTCCGTCGGGCTGCGACGCACCAACACGATCGGAGTTGCACCAACACGATCGGCCTGCGCGCCAGCGTCGCCAAGGTCCTCGATTGGGTGAAGAGAGACTACGGGCTGGTCAAGCATAATAACCTGATTATTGGTGTGTCTGAGGTACTCCGCCAGGACCTGCAGGGATAAGGAGGCAGGGGAAAAGACCGCAAAGACATTGCAAATGCAAACGCGCCGGTTCGAGAAAACGGTTTAAATACAAAGTTGCCACGTAAAAACCCTGCGCGCGTGTTTTCATATGATGGGTGGGACGGGAATGGTAGTCAAGAGAATTGGCTAGTGAGGTTATCGGCAGGGTCGCCAACTAACAGGATGGAGCCCACTAGCCCGAATGCACACATGAATGAAAACACAAGCAGCTAATCTTTGTCTGACACTCTTGCTGTACATGTACTTATTTGACCCTCGCCACAAGCACTTCTATACTTGATGGACATACTCTTCTAGGACAACTTTGCGCGACATTCTTGCTTGGAACCTTAAATTAGCAACGCCCTCAGTAGGACGCTCTTGTCGCACAATCTTGCAGGACACCTTTGAGCGGCACTTTTGCTTGACACTCTCGCAGCGCATCTTGTCGCGCAATATTGCGGGACACTCTTGTAGGACACGCTTGCAGGACTCCAGGACACACTTGTGGCACTTTTGGCAACAAAGCAGCAAACCTGGTTGATGATTGCCACCACAAAGTGCATGTGCTCACCAGCGACACGCCGCGTTTACACACGCATGCTTCCCGCACTTGCCGCGCCTTCCCGCGTCTAACAAAATTTACACCGCGCCACACCTTTGGATTGATTTCGGCCTGTTGCTGCTCGACCCCGCTCCCTCAAACAATCACAAGTTTTGCCTGAGACCTGTCTGCAAAGCAAGCGCTTGAAGAGCAAATCCCAATGGCACAGCGGCTCAAAATGCTGATCTCACGAGACGCTGCGCTTGCGCAGCGAAATCGCCCTCCACACTTGAACGTGTTACGTTTCTGCGCTATTTAATCCACACAAATCTGACACAAACCTCCTTCTATCGCAGGGCCTTATCGATCACATTTGGACAATGGCAAAAGGTTGCGAAAGCAACGTCACGCCAACGCAGCTCTCGCATCGATCAATGAGAATCCTTCGTGAGGGGCGACTCCTGGAAAACTGACGGTTTCCTTTACCGTAGTTGGGGTGAAGAGTGTGACTGGGCAGTGTGATTGGAGTATTTTTCATTCATTCTGGCTGCGCTTTACAGGGCATAGGGCGAGAAGGGGCAAGTTCTTGTGCAACATTTTTAGCAGAAGGCCTTTTCCCACTCAGAAATGGACTCACCTTGATGCGAGGCTCAGATGGAAAGGCTGATGCCTTCTTGGGCCCGTCATTCTCTGTCTCTGCTGATGCCTTCTTGGGCCCGTCATTCTCTGTCTCTGCAGTTCTGGCCTCAAAATGCAATGTGAGGTGGTGAACAAAATGAAGCCACATAAAGACTCCGAAGGCCTTGAAGAAGACATTCCAGAAGCGCTTGAAGGCATTCTGCCAGAGTGCCGAGCAACAATCCCAAATCATACCACTTACACACTTCCAACTTTCAGCTGCAAATAACTTATATCTGACAAATTGCATAATACTTCAAACAATGTTGAAATGTCCAAACATGTCACATGTCCAAACACTTTCCAAACCTCAAAATATATTGAGGCAACTCACAAAAGCGTCCTTCAGCAAATACAATCAATGGCCTGCACCACTCCGGCTTGGTTGGCCGCCACGATCTTCTCAACTTTGACTAGCACCTCCGGATCTGCATCAATCTCATAACGAATGTTGATCTCAGTGATGATTTTGTTACGACGAAGCCCGGCCAGCAGCGCCTGGCAACATGTGCCGTGCTACGCAGCACGAACTCTGATTCCAACCTGCATCAATGGAGGACCTAAATCACAGAAGTGGACTATTTGTGCTGCCCATGGACACTGAGATTCGGGACGTGTGCGCCTTGCAGCCCTCGGTCTCTATGCCATTAAACCCTAGAGTGATCTTCTTCAAGGTGCAGTTGTGCCGGAGCACCTCACCCAAGGCCTCACGCAGTGCAGGACATTAAACAAAACACATGGCCGAAACAGGTCGCTTCTCCGGCCTTCGCCAGGCAATTTCCAGTCCCTTGATTCTCTTCCCCGCCCCTATAGTTGTCGCCATGCATGATGCAAAGCTCTTCGAGGCAAGTTGAAGCACCCAGCACCTGCACCAGCGAAGCCACCAGCTCGGGAGTACCTTCCCAGTTTTTAAGCTTGAAGGACCGGAGATCCTGAGCCAACAAAGGGAAAAAAGGACCATCGCTGTACGGAAAGAGGACAAATCTTCACTAGTTACTTTAGATGATGTTTTATTGATAGCCTTTAAACGGTCCTGTCTGTTTGCCACTTTCACTTGTTATGAAACCACTTATTAGCAGGAAGTTTTGGTGAGAAAGTTTAGGAAAAGCCACAAACATGACGTGACTGTATGACGTGTCATTGGCTGGCTGGATCGCACAATGTCAGAGCCTGAAACGCAATTGGTTCGGGTTGCTTATGTTCGGTGGCAGGGCGACCACTCTCGTCAACATTCTCTGTGAAACTTGTTATCCTGGCCCTGAAGATGATCTGTTTGATTTGTTGGTCATTGCAGGTTCTTTGTGACCTTTTTCACTTCTGGAACAGACTCAAACACTAGCTTTGCTGCTGGCACCTTCAATTAAAGGCTATACCGGGCTATACACTAATATATATATATGTATTAGTCTGAGAACAGCATCGTCGGAAGGCCAAGTCTCCTTGTAGTGCTCTAAAGACTCCACCAACTTCTCCAGGTCCTCTTCTAGCAAGTTCTCAAAGAACACCTCCTTGCAACATGTGACCCTTTCAAAGAAGACCTTCTTCTGCAGTTCAACAACCGTTTCTGCATCATTGCGGTGGGTGAAGGCCGATGTTCGCATCTGCTCAGCAAAGGCTTCAGGGGTCAACGGCACCTGGCCCGAACTGCTCTCGTCGTAGAAACCATAGATGCATTGGTTCTGCGCAGTGGTGCCACGTACCGCAGACCACTGCACCTCCGCTAAGCACCATCCCCGCTGAAGATATGGTGTGCGATTGTGCATCAACTCTTTGAGCGGTAAGGCTTGGAGCGAACCACTTGGCATGTGATATACGGGAACCTTTCTGCTCTCATCTTTCAGCATCGCATTCCAAATATGTGGTGGAGTCAAGCCTTCGATGCGCAAGGTCAAGCTGCAGTCATGAGCATACATGACATGCATGTTTCCCATGGCACGTGCGAAGCTCTCTCTTTGTGCATCCGTTTCCCGCTCGAACTGGTAAAGTGAGGTGTAGTCGTAGAACACCCAGATCTCAGAATAGTATGCGGCCTCATACAATGAGATCGTATCTACAAGATGCCCAAGCTGAAAACAGCAGGGATCGGGATGTTCGCGGGTCTCCCAAGCATGGGAGACCGAACATATGATCGCATCCTTGCTGCCGGCAGCCCACTTACGGACTTCACTGTGGGTTACCAGTGCTGACATTTGCACCGAGTCCTTTTCGCACACTTCGCCTTCAGCTTCCTGCCGTCTAGGAAGAGGAATATTGTGTCTGCGAAGGTGGAACAAGTACCTGCGGCTCGTTCCAGCATGGTGATCCAAACAGTACTGTATATGGATTGATCTTCGCACCAATTTCCAAGAAGATTGGACAGGTAACAAGAAAAAGGAACAACCCAACGAAACGAACAAGTACAGGTGTGGTCACGGCGCCCGGATCAGGCGGATGTCAGCATCTTGCAGAAATGCCGCCAGTGATGCTTTGTCGCTGAGTTTGTATCTGGCCTGGCTTTAACAGCAGCTGCTTGTTCAAACTGTGAAACAACCCACGAGCAACACTGTGAAACATCAAGCGCAATCCTGTGTGACGTTCCGATGCAACACTTTTGCCACATGAACATCTTTAGATGTCTTTGCACAGTGTATGCCCAGAATCGTTCCTGCCAAAGCCTGCGTCCCTATGCGAGGTTGTTCAAAGCTTGCATTTAGACCTGGTTGAAAAATAGATAAATCATTGAAACTCTTGGTAAACGGTCCTGTTGCTGGATGATCAGCGAACATGCTGCAAATGTGCAGTATGTTTTCTTTTTTTCCGATCAAACAGACTTTCAACACGTTGATGGAAAACCATGGAAAAACAAATACTCATCACATCTCCCCATTAGATGATCATCTGTTGCTTCCATCAGACAAAAATGCAGCACTGCAACCTCAAACAAACATTCATGTCTCAAGAAGCAACTCAACGACGCTAGACATATTAGGTTCTGTTCTGTAGATGTTGCAATCCCTTCAAAACATATTTCCAGTCTAAACACTTTTGAGTGAGACACAACCTTCAGAGACATCAGTGGTTAAACTTCGCCCATTTAATGAAACTGGTGCTTTCTGAATCTTGCCTATACACTCCACCTTCAGTGAGACACGCAAATCCCCACACCTCCTCCACTTGAGCTTTCTCCTGCACATTCAGATGCATGCAGCACAAGTGAACACATGTCGCGGTGTTTAAA